TCTGCATGAAACATCACAGCTGCAGATACATTCGTAGACAAATGTATAATATTTTCTTACTTCACTTTCACGTAAAGATATAAATGCAACGTGACTTACATATATGAGCTATTTATTATGAAAGTGAGCTAATTGTAACTCCATTTCCTAAAAACATCGAGCTGGCTATTTTAATATTTACATTTCTACGTTATATATAATTTCATTTCAGCAAAGCCTCTAGAACGCACTAACCCTTAGAAACGCAAAAACATTATACTACCATGTAATCAGTTACCAATATATTTTAATTTATTATAATGCAAAATCCTTAAATATCTGGATTTTAAAATAAATGGACCTGGGCCACTTTCGAAATAAACGACTCATATTATGAACACTTCAATGTAAGGTCATTCCAATTCGCAAGTTACTTGCAATTATAAATTAATTAATTTTATAATAATAAAATTCATAATATTTGTTATCCATAATATAAACTCAGGGTTCCCATAAAGTTTACTAAACAAAACTTTCTTAAACAATTAAAACGTACCAGGAAGATTTTAGCTGCAAACGGAATGAAAAAGACTTCATAATAACAAAGATACAAAAAGAAATCTTTTTTAGAGACGAAAAGTTCCTTATGTTAACAACAAACGGAAAGTATTATTAACAATTATTCGTATACACACTTTTTTGCAGTTTCGGAGTTTCCATATACTATAAAAGAGTAGCAATAGTTGTAATAAACATAGTAATAATATATATATATATATATAATAGTAATAATGTTTATAATAATATAATAACGAATTGACAGTAAATCTAATTTACCAGTCAAAGCAACCGTTTTCACATCGCTTTTTTTTAAATTATTTAAATTACAAAGATTATATATATATATATATATATATATAATATATTTCATAGAAAATAATTGAATAAATTTCTGAACTCAGCTCTGCAGTGTAATACAAATGAAGTTCAAACAAATTCAGTCTTGTGTTAAAAGTGTTAAATACGTTAAACTATCCATCGTGCAACCACCACGCTTATGTTTTAAGCTAACTTTTTTTAACACCATGTGAAAAATCATTCTTCTTATTGAAGTTGAACATATAACAAGAGACGTGTGAAAAGTAAAGTTGTCTTCTTACGACTGAAAACATTTGAATTTGTGGTGTTTTGTTTGCGCAGAAAGATCCACTACAACGATGAAAACTACGTGGCGTTGAACGTAGCGGACAAGTTAGAGGAAGAAAAAATCTTGAGCGGCATCGAGAAACACGAGAAAGCTCGGGAGAAGTATCATCAGCCGCGGAAGAAGCGGAAACGGAAACGACGTAAAGTTACCAAAACGATTCCCCGCGAAGAGTTCGTCGATCCTGAGGAACTACCCCCGCGTGCACGGTGGACGATCGTCGCGACTGCTTGCCTCCTTCTTGCCATGTCTTTGCTGTTGGTTGGTGTCACTTTGAGGATGGCACCGATTATAGACGATATGGGTGAGTCGAAATAACATAATTCAATATACAGTAAATTCTCTTCGATTGTCCCTCAGCTTGTGATCAAAATTGGACAACTTGGGAAGAGGGTATACGATTATTTGAACTTCGCGGCTCGTTTTTATAGTCGCCAATTGTCAAAAAACGAGTTGCAAGGCTCAAATATCGTATCTCCCTTTTCCAAATTGTCCAGTTTTATTTGCAAGCTGAGGGATAATTGGAGAGATTTTACTGTACTGCCATCTGATCCATGAAAGATGTTATCCGACTGAGACACGTCGATTTAAGTGAGTTTTTAGTGCGATATGGATCTTGCAAAAATATTTAACACTTATTCTTTGAATCACGATGAGGGGATGAAAACAGTCTTCAACCCTTTGCACTCGGATGGCTCCCTCAGGCGACACAGCGAGTCTCCTCGTAATTGTTCATAATGATATTTTATCAGTTTAAGAAACGTAGTATTAAAATATAAACAGCTACACCAATTTTACACACAATACTTTCACAAATATATTGCAATTTCAATTGCCTCTCTTTCAATTGTCATTCATCATTCGATTATTCAATACATCGACTCTTTTCTATTACTCAAGAATGAAAATCGCATTGTACAAAATAGTAATTTTAGACTGATGACTGATTTTCTATTTCCTTTTAAACTACATGCACAAAACAGAAAAATTTACAGACTTGTGTTTAAAAATAGAGAGTCTATATAACATCGTCTTGTAAAAATTAGAAATGCAAACATTGTAAGTCCCTTCAATACATCGACCCTCACTTCACTCACTTTAATAGAATAACTCCACAATAATTATGGTACTTTCGAAATTAACAATTTTTGTTTCATAAAATCTATATAAGTACAATCTGTAATCAAATGTAATAATTATTTTCAAGGTTCTATCAGTTTATGCTTTCTTTGAAGTGTTAGTTATTCGAATTTTTGATGAATGATTCGAGAAACTTTTCCGAGTGCAAAGCGTTGAAGTTGAGGTTGAAGTGGAGGTGTCTAAAATTATTGAACGTCGACGAATATTTCAAAGTGCAAGTAGTGCATCTTTCGCTCCAAACAAATTTGCGGAAAAATGGACAGTTTGAAAAATATATTAACGATCAACATATTTTAAAAAATTTATTTCCACTGTGGTGTAAAATATTTGATCTGTTTGGTGAAAATTTTGTTTTATTTATTCTGTTTGGTGAAAATAATGATTTGTTTTAATGACAATTTGAGGTAGTCTTAACTTCTACCTCAAAGTGCTGTTTCTCACTGCTTCGAAATGGAAGTTGATTGATAAAAAACACTGGTGAAGTATTTTTACGAGCTATGTATCATACTAAAAATACATCAAAGTCGCTCTTCGTCGGTTGAGTAATGTTCCTTCAAAAAAATTGAGACTGATAATAAGTTACGATATTGGAGCTTAGGGTGGTGTGAAGGAGAACATCTTTCAATCCGCCCATTATCCCGTCATTTCTATCGACACTTTGTTTTTTCATAAAATGCTATTCCATAATATAAGAACATAATAAAAGAACTGTATCACACTTTCTTATCCTGTATATTTTTCTCGTCTTTCGTTAGGCTACTCAAATAATTCAGCTCTCTGATAATATTAAATAAATTACCTGATAGCGGTAAATCATCATTTAATGCATCGTATCTTGTAATTACAACGTTTCTCGCAGCAAATACGTGTTAAAAGTGTACATTCTTCAATGAATATACCATTTCATTTGATCTTAACATTTAATTTATTTGCTTTACTCATGACTGAGCCATTCATTTAATGAGAAGGTAATGCCTTAACACATCCATCGATTAGAACAAATCCTTCCGGTACCAATTCCGGATGTTCTGTTATTCGATTAGGCTATCGTCAAGCTGCAATTATGCTTTTCAATGTCGCAAATGTATTGTAGATACTTCCCGTCGTTATTGTATACAGTTAAACTGAAAAGTTTATGCAATTTAGTAAATATATCAAGATTAAGTTGTTAGAAATGCAATTTACTGGATAGATACATCGTATAACTATTTGAACAAATGGCTTTTAAATCAAAGAAGTCGTTATCTTATTATTCGTACACTTGTTTCTTCTTATTAACTTGCTCAAAAAAGACTGAATTAAAATCATAAAATAATTGTGGTGTCAACAATGTAGAAAAAGAACATAAAGTTCTATTGAAAGTAGTAATGCAGGTCATAGGGTAATAGACCTTTCTAAAGTATAACTTCTTTCATTGTATTCTAGTTAATAAAAAAATTTAACATTGTTAGGTGATATATTATAAATAATTTTCTACCGCGATGCAAAATTAATTGTGTACTACCTAAGAAACCTTATTATATGGCAATACCATATGAAATTATTTTCGCTAAAATAAATAAAGTAGGATGGACATACATAGAGGTTTCCATGCATTCAAATAATATTAATCGTACAGAATGTAATTACGCGTCATAACATAATTACATGTAAATGTTAAAAATTTTTTATAAATTTTGTTTGTGGTTCATTCCGATTCTTGCTGAAACGTGTATGTTATCGAAGAGAACTTTATTAATGTTTCTGTTCATTACGTACATTTTCTACTTTGAGTACAGCTAAATATAACAATGGCTGCAACTACATATTTAAACACAATTTTCACGAAAACGTTGCTGGTAAAAGTATTTTTAACCGAGTCACTTATTCATCTTCGAGTTTTTTTTAAATGAGACACTGGTACCTTGAATAGATGAACTCTGACCCTTTGAATGAGTAATCAAATCCCACACGAAGTCAGTGACAATTTTTGTGAAATATTAGACTTACTTTTCCCTCTTCCACTATTACAGATGTCATCTTCACGCGTCGTTAATTTATTAATTTTGTAAAAGAAATAATATGCATAATCTGTTAGTATTGCGAATAAAAATTTCTACAGCATATTTTAATTGATCACAAAATCAAGTACAAATCAGTGACACGTGAGGATATTCTCGATGCATCATTAAAAGGAAGAGATCACGTTTCTCTACTTGAAAGCCAGTCATCATTGCAAGGTCATTAATTAAATTAGCTAATTAAAGATAGAACAACTAAGAGATCTATAAGAATCATTATTAACAAAACTGTTCGACTAACACATACCTTCATTAATTATGAAAATTAATTATAAAAAATCGAACTTATTTTATTTATTACTACAAGTTGAACATACATAGTCGAGGACCGTTACTAGTACATGTACAATGTATAATAGTTGACAAAATTTATATGAATATCACATATCATAATGCAGAAGTGTAACAAAGTTTGCTGTTTAAAGGGATCTTCTAAAATTTAACGCGGAGTATAGGCACGAGGAAAGTTTGATTTGTGGTTTGCAACATTATCAGAGTATGCCTAAGCTATTTAGGGTAGGTCTCGGTGGAATACAGTTCTCCGTAGTGATGATGAAATATGCAAACAGTCTCTGGAGATTCTACCTCGTATTTCATGTCTCTAGGTTAATGTTTCATTGCGACAATATACTGTGTTCTATTCAAAAAACTGTAGTAAACTTCACTTATGCGTGTACCGCTGAATTATATTCATAGCAACAAAAGTATTCATATACAACCACTATAAATACTTGAAGCAAAGAATGCTATTCATGAAACGTTAAACAAGAACGATTTCTAGGTATTATTGTGGTAGCATCACCAACCATGACTAAATCATTTGTTTTATAACTGGATAAACCTTCTCTCTAAAATACTAAATATATTCGATAATTAATCAAATTTTCAATGGACGCATATTGTAATCATTATTGACGAGTTCCCGTTTTAGAGAAATTCGTCTTTTTATTCGAGGATATTTTACCCAAATAATTGATGTTTCCGTTTATTCATGACGAGACTGTAGTTCTCGGCGAGCAAGAGAAGACTTTTTATGCAGAATAAATATCGTCTGCTTCAATCGCAAGAGATGGATGCCAAATACATATTCATTACAATACAATTTTTTCAATATAATTTTTTCAATACAATTTTCAATACAACTTTTTTATTCAATACAATCTTTTCTTTAATAATTTGGATGGAAATAATAATTGAATGAATAATTTGATGGGAATAGTGCATCGATGATCTTCTATTATATGAATTGTTTGTCCACTATTCTAAAATGCACTCCCTCCCTCCTTGTTTTTGTCTTTAGTCAATCACTTACTGATTCAAGTTACTGATTCAATCTTAGAATTAATTTATGTGTAAATTTTCAGACCTGTTTTAATCTGTTATTTGTGTATACAAATGATCGCAGAAGAAGGAAAAATTGCATACAAAATTTATACGCGTAACTGAAGCTGATGGGTTGTAATTTAAGAAACCGTCCTTTCTTTTGTCCACATTTTTAGAGGACTTTTGTGTTTATGAATATTAATATTTTGAAATAAAACTTTGAGGAAACTGACCTTAAGATGCACGCTACAAACTGGTCACACAGATATCTTGTAAAATATTCAATAATACATACAAAAACGTAAATTTATTTCTAAATTGTTACACTACTTAAAAAATCAATCTAGACTAGAGCAAAATCCCGAAAACTTAAATACAAGCATATTCATCTCAATGAAAAACTTATGCGAATACCGAGATGCATCGTTTCAAGATTCTCAAATTAATCGCCAATCGATGGTACTTGAATGTATCGGTCACGTTTTAGAGGCTCGAACCGAGCATCCCCTCGAGGATGGCCAGCTTTTCGGCAGAGAGGTCATGTGCCAACGCTTGAAGATTCTCCAAATGTCCTATATTTTTTCGCAAAAGAGGCTGCCATAGTGTTTGGCCAATTAACCAGAAATATGGTGCGACCATAGTCGATAGCACTTGCGGTACAGTATTCAGCACGAAAAAAACACTTCTCCGGATTTATATGTACCAGGAATACATGCGCGACCGCACACAAATATGTCCGGACCAACGAGGAGAGGAAGAGAGAAATAGAAAGAGAAAGAGA